GTTTAGCTGCTGAACACCTGAGGCACCTCCACCTTGAAATGAGGGAAGAGTGGTGTCCAAACGTGTGTGATTATTGGAACATGGATCTCAAGACACGAATCAACCATTGTGTCAACAGCATTGCGAATATTAAATTTTTCCAAAATTGCTTAACAGTTAGGATATGGGTGGCAGAAGATGGTCCAGGTGTGGCAGACGGTTCAAGGGTGGCAGACTCGTTCTCATCTTCACTCTCAATATCACTAACTGTAGCAATTTGTAGCAGTTCAACTTGGCTGTCAGTTTCATGGTGCATTTGGTTGCGAACGGTGTGGTAGTACATGAGCTTAACATTGGCTATCAGTTCTTGATCCAACAGCTGTACCTTTAAAGTTGTGTGCGCTGGAAGGAAGCACAGTTGTACGTTGGGCTGGAAGTCTACCAAATACCTAGCATGACCAGGCACATTGTTCATGAATAACAACACCTTGAAATCTAGGTTCTTACGTCTACAATGTGCCCTTGCGTCAGGGATAAAATACTTCTCAAACCACTTCTTTGACAGATTTTTGTCCATGTAACCTTTGGTAGTCTTCTCCCATTACACATTAAGCTTATTCATATCTTGATTCCTGTACGCATGCAGTTTCTGATACTTGTGAATAACAAGAGGTTTCATTTTATGCGAACCAGACGCATTGCAAGTGAATAACATACTGAATCTATCCCTTGCGAGTTGGTGCCTTTTGCTGTTTCTCTGTTTTGTGCATGTATGTGGTAGTAGGGGACTTTTTCCAGAAAAAACCAGTTCCGTCACAGTTGTATATTTGTTTGTAGGGATAACCACCATCTTCAACAATCTGCTTTGCAATCACTGGAAATGAGTAAACTCCACTAATGCTTGCAGGGGCAATTTCACCACGATACTTTGCCAACTTCACTTGACACCACTTCTTAAAATTAGCAAGCCAGCCAACACGCCTTGAAACTTGGGGGAGATGAAATTTTTTTCTTTTTGCACACTGCACTTTAAATCACTCTAGCCTTCTTACGCAGCTCTGGCCCGGACACGCTGGCATCCTCCTTCACTCTCCTGCTCAACCACTTGCTAAGGTACGCCTCGGTTATTGCAATGATTTTGCGATATTCACTTGTGTCTACACTCATTCGTTCATGGGTGGCAAAATACTTCTTTCCAATGTCCATTTGTTGTTTAATAGTCCCTTTCTTTTGCTTCAGTGTTCTTATTGTACTTTCATGTGCACCTGTTGGTCGCCGAATTTCACTGGTCTTCATGCCTTCCTTGATATATTCCACAATTTTTGCCTTGTCAGCCAAACTATATTTTGCATGTTTCTTGCCAACTCTGTACTCCATTTTTGCCTTTGGCGGTTATGGGTGCTTAGGAGGGTTCCCATTCACACCAGGTTGACCCCCACCACCTACTAGTTCAACATCTGCCATATCAATGCCGCGAAATGAGCGTCTGAACACGAGATCACCAAGAGATAAAGTTCTGACTGTCTCAGTGCGTGGGCGGGAAGGAACTAATGGTGCTGCTAGCGCCACAAACAACTAAGAACTAACTGGCGGGCCGCTCAAACCCATCAAAATTCAAGTTTCTGCCATCAAAATTTAAATTGTGTAGTTTTTTTATGTCCAACTAAAAATCGTTGAATTAAAAACTCGCAAAATTTGAGAACCTACTGTATATTATACACCTCTCCCTTCTCTTATCTCAAATGTCCCTCATATTTTGAGGGATCACCAAGTTCTTTATTTGTTGCTACTCCCGGTGCACAGACATCACAACTTAAATTAATCATGCTTGAGCGATAATGCCTGAGTGAGCATCAAGTCACCCGGAAGGGTTGACAGTGCTGAGCTGCTACCATAGCGCTCCATTGGCTAACATCGTTCACCATTACTCGAGCAAGATGTATTGGGTTGAGAATTCCCCCCCTGAATGGTTCTCATATAACCCATACTGAGGATACAAGGTTCATCTCAACATAACTCTAGATTGCTAGTAAGACCGGAAGGTCAGCGTCCGGAAGGAACACTAAGACTAGCAGCCTCGCTAAAGTTCGCCTGGAAAGGCTGAACTGAGGACATGAATAAAATAGAGTTATGAAGAAAAAACTTATCTCTGTCCTGCATGCTGAGAGTGATCAGAAAACCCAGGGTGGAAGCCCGAAAAGTTTCGTGAATAAACATGAGAAGAGGGAGAAGGATGGCCACATATATCATGGTATTCATTATTTGCATGTGTATAATTGGGACAATATATATACATATATACACACACAGTATTGCCCCGCTTTACACGGTTTCACTTTCCGCGATTTCTCATTTACGCGGTACCTTGCCAGAACCGGACTTTCACTTTTCGCGGTGCATCTACTCATATACGCGTGAAGTATTATTTTTTTTTTATTATTATTTTTTTATTTAGCTCATAAAATTCATACAAATTACCCGGCCAGAATATAATTTACAGTGCTGGAATTCTTACAATATGATGATCATTTTGAATATAAACATCATGGATTTTGCATTAGACATACAAATTTTAGATCTAATGTAATAATTTGGTTTACACAAAGCAAATAATTTATCTTTTGTGCAAAATATATGAAGTTTACATTCAAAATATTCCCTGACCTGCAAGGAATCCAGAAATGTCAATTATATTATCCTAACTTTAGTCTGAGGTATTATTTATTACTAAACGTTAAAATCTAGTGTTTTCACCCAAACATTTCTCAGAGAGGTAGGAGCCAGTGAGCTGGGAAGAGGGGGGGGGGAGTGAGCCCATTATTTGAATGGACATTAACCTGGTGACTGTATTTCTCTTAAATATTAATTGTGTGAGCATACCATCATAAAATTAAGATGTTATTTTTACTACAACATAGGTACTGTGTCGGAAAAAGTGGAGTTTGGGGTCGGGCCAGTCTCTATTGGAATTAATCCCATATGTTCTGTTGTTCACTTTACGCGGTTTTCACTTTCCGTGGTACCCTGTGGGTTCAATTGACCGCGTAAATCGGGTACTACTGTATATATACTGTATCACTGTACGAACGTGGCAGAGTGTATTTTTGTGTTTACCCAGAACCGTCAACTCGTCCATTATTTCTTTTACTTTTTTCACAATACAATATGAATTTAGGATGGTTTGTGCATGTAAATGAGTAAAAATAAATGAAGAAAGTTACATATATCAACCCAAAAATATGAGTTGAAAAACGTTAATATAAATGGACTACACTATGGGACTAAAATTTTTATCTCCTGCGCAAAATATATGATGTCTATATTCAAATTATTCGCTGTCTTGCAAGGATTCTAGCAATGCAAGTTATATTCTGCTGAGACACAACTGACGCCTCACACCTGAGTGGGTCAAGCGTTGGCCGCATCAGATAATGTTGGTGTCACTCTGGGTATGTCACATTTTTAATAAATTTGTTTCTGATTATTTGTGAGAGTATTTTCTCATTATTATTTATTTATATGTGTGTGTCTACACACACACACACAAACATATATACAATACAGGTAAAAGAAATACAGTCAACCCTTGCTTTAAAAGGTCCCACTTTGCGCGTTTCTACAAACGGTACCCTGCCGAAACCGGAATGCTCACTTTCCGCGGTGTGTGTACCCTTTTACGCGGAGAGCGGCATGAGCAGGGTGCTCACAAGGTCGCCCAGTCATCAAAACATTACCGAGTTCTTCACCCGCCACCCACCACAGCCGGCCCAAGTCAGTGATAGTGATAATGATAGTGAGGATATGGACTTATATGGACTTTGAGTGGTTTGACAAAGAGGCCCTGCAAGCCTCTGTGGTGGATAGTGATACAATTGATACAAGTGAGGGCCAATAATCTGCCCTCTGCCTCGGAACCAACCCCCCATCCCTGTGTGCCCAGCCATCATTTCTACTAATGTAAGTGTTAAAAAACCTAATATTATTGATATTTCTCTTAATTATTAATTGTGTGTGCATACCATCATAAAATTAAGAAGTTATTTTTACTACAACGTAGGTATTGTGTCTGAAAAAGTGGAGTTTGGAGGTCGGCCTGGTCTCTTTTTCAATTAATCCCATATGTTATGTTGTTCACTTTACGCGTGTCTCACTTTACGCTGGCCGCCGTGGGTTGAATTAACCGTGTAAAGTGAGGGTTCACTGTAATTGCCCTAAGGGCAAACACAAAGGGAATATACATTTCAATGTACACAAGTAAAAATGTACCCCCCCCCTCCCCCACCGGTCAGCAAATGTTATTCGCGGATTTGATGATTCAAAGCCATTTTGAGAACCTAACCCTGCGAATTTGGGGGGCCCCTGTATTTTCATGAGCGTTTGAATTTTAAAACAATTATATTTTTTTCTTAAATGAGCATGGACAACCGATAAACACAGTAATTGGGGAATGCTTATGAAAATGCATGGATTTGTGGTAAAACAGACTTCTAAGACAAGAATTTGCGAGGTCAGTCTGTAGTACATTTCATGACTTGCACATCCCACCTGTCTCAATCACGCCTGCTAGACAAGTGTGTGACCATCGGGACTCTTTATTTCAGGCCTAGCCAGGATGACAGGATGGCCAATTACAAACTAAGACAAGAGAAAGGAGTCATGGCTATTTCACATTTCCATAATGAACAGATCATAAACTGGGAGCCCTTGACGTGGTATACAAGTGCTTTTAAGTTCACAGAAAGGCCTCCCAAGAACAAAACCTGGAAAAAGGTTACTCGGCCATGGGAACACCTCCCACAAAAGCTGATATCATCTGAAACATGCATGGGCTGAGGCATGAAGTGGCTGGGTGGCAAGAGGGCAGTGTGTGGGACCAGGTTGGGTGGTGAGGAAGTGGGGCCCAGGTGGACAGTGAGCAGGCAGAGGGCATTTCACTACATTGCTACCAACATTGAATGCATATAAATTAATAATGATATTACAATCATGAAAAATCTTAAAATTATTACAACGTTTTAACAACAACAACAAATTATAAAACCCAAGTATACAGTACTAACGTATGAGAGCGAGAACAATCAGCAAAATACCGATGACACTGCCGGTGGTTGCCACAAGGATGGTGTGCATGTCAAGCACTGATTTCTCAGTCTGCATTTCATCTGAAAAGGCAGTACAGATATATAATCACTTGCAAGAAATCTGTATACACAATTTCTGGATTTTTACAGTAGTAAAAAGAAATACTGTACCCTACAGTACCGTAGATAGGTAAAAAATAGATAAACAGGGAGTCTGAATGCAACTGAGGTAGACACACAGATAACCACTTCATAGAAATTTCTCAGAATTTGAAGATATAATATCCTGTACCTACAGTATTATTTTCACACCTCATCCAATTTTGGCTTAGGCCTAGAAACCTGAAAGGTGAAAACACTAGAGAAAATGATGCAAGGTATGTGTAGAAAGTGCCAAAAGGTTAGCAAAGAAAGAAATACCCACACATACTTCTTCATATCCTCGATTTCCTTCTTTTTTTTTAGTCCTTTTCTTATTTAAAGTTGGGTTGCCAAATACAAGAGCATATACAGTAAACACAAAAAAAAAGATTCTTGTCAGTCACTGTCATTCAGCCATTCTTACTTCTGTAAAAGATTTGTTAAATAAATCACATCCAAACCATGGATTTTGAATCTGCAATTTGTCAATCTGCAGCTCATTTTATTGTGGTGCTAAATATCCATAATCCACAAAAAGCTGTGCCTTTTCAGTATGAACCTATAAAAGACAATAATTTCTCCGTTAGCCAGAATCTTTGATCCAGGAACTCTCCAATAGTCGTCATTATCTTTTTGAGCATTCCGAGAAATTCCGGGGGAAAATGTCTCCATTCCATGGGAATGAATTTCTGAGGATTGCATCATGCGCATTTCTGGAAAATTCCAAGAAAATTTCTGTTCAGAGAATGTGAAGAGTTTTCAGAGATTGGTATCCTATTTCCAACACAGGGATGTATACCAATGATTAAATCTTAACATAGAAAATCAACAATCCACATCAGCACCGGACCTCCCAAAACCAGGCGTATGGGGTGGGTAGGCTCAGAGAGCTTGTGAGCTACAATTGGCCACTGTCATGTGACTGCATGGGATGCCTATGATTGGTTGGTGTATCTCTTTTTGCTTTTTTTTTTTTTTTTGCTTTTATCCTCTTCACCACTGATCTGTTCGTTAGCCACTTGGGCGGTTGGTCTCGTCTCTGATACGCACTGCATGTACTGGGCATGCACTGGCTCTTGAATATATCCGAACCTATTCCAGTGTTGGTCATGTCTGGCCTTGAAAGAGCTCACACTCGGTGTCGTAGTAACACTCTCTGGCAAATTGTTCCAAGAGTTCACAAGCCTCACTCCAAAAAAGTTTGCCCACACGGTTTTCTGGACTTGTGGCTTCTTCAACCTTGAGCTGTGACCCCTTGTGGGGTGAGCGTCTGCCAGCTCCAGGTATGTACATTCGACCGAGCAGTGCCCTCTGAGATGTTTATACAGGTACTCCTCGACAAACGACCGTTACAGTTGTATAAAATATTATTCAAATTACGTATTTTTGAGTCCCGACGTTAGTGATCGTGCAGTGTACGTACTGACAAAATTTTTGTTTGTAATTCCCTTTAAAATGGCTGGCAAGCGTAAAAGTGAGAGTTCTTGTTATGCTGAGAAGAAAAAGAGATACCCATTTTAGATTTTCTAAGTATTACAGTGAGTTCTGCTATAACGCGTGTTTTGACAATGCGAATTGGCTCTAACGCGATTTATGAATAGAGGAACGATATTTGTAAAACGCGAACGCTTGTTTGCTGTAACGCGATTTTTGCTTACTATTTCTCCAATTTTGTGGTAGTAACTGTGAATATGGTAAAGAAGAATATCTCCAAGAAGCGTTCTGGTGATCACATTCCTGGTGATGATCGTAAAAGAAAGGCTATAACACTTGAAGAGAAGCTCAATGTTATCAACCCAAAATCACCCTTCTCCCCCATCAAGTTATATTCATATTTTTTCAAGGTAAAGTGTTACATTTACTGTATGATTTCATTATTAGATATGAATGTAACATTTATTTAGACTGTGCTATCCTTTGTGTTTGGCTAATTACTAAATTTTTTTTCGATTTCGAGTAATCTGCACCTAACCCTATTTTCTCCATAAGCCCTGTTATTTATATTGAGCGAATTTCTGTAACACGATGTTTTACAAGAACACAACTATTGCGTTATAGCAGAACTGACTGTATTTGCGCATTTTTTACTTACGACCAATTCGATTTACGACCTGGTCGTAAGTCCCTAACCCCGTCTTAAGTCGAGGACTGACTGTACACTTTGATTAGGTCGCCCCTTGCCCGTCTATAGTATGAGCTAGGCAGTTCCAGGCATTCTAACCTCTCTGGGTAGTTGAGGTTCAGGAGAGCAGTCTGGTGGCCCTCCTTTGGACATTTTCAATCAATTGACAGTCTCTAGCATATCTTGGGAACCAGACGGGGAAGCACCTCACTCTTGAAGATCATGACGAGTGGTGGACCATCCAGATATCTAAATTACTTCTTACAAGACCTACTAGTTTCGCTGCTTGATTCACCTTCTTCTCACAATGTCCCGAAAACTTAAGTTCCTTGTCAACATGCACACCCAGGTCCTTTTCACATTCAGTCTCAATTAATGCAGTTTCTTCATCCTGTTGAGTTATGTGATATGCCTCCTTACTGTTGGTGTGACCCAGGTGCATCCTCTTGCACTGTCGGCAACATATGACCTAAGCTGTTGCATCGTCAGGGATGTAATTACCACAATCAATCAATCACATGAATCCTCTTGCACTTCGTGACATTGAATATTAACAGTCACTTCTTCGACCATTCTTGAAGCTCACAGAGATCTTTCTGTAGCTTTTCACAGTCTATTTTGGTTCTTAATTTCCCTAAATAACATGGCATTGTCCACAAACATTTGTATGGAGGAGTGTATAGCATTTGATATGCCATTTATGAAGCAAACAAACAACAGCGGGTCTAATACACCGTCCTCTGGTACCCCGCTTGTCACAGGTGCACATGACGATTCTGTGCCATTAATCACCACACACTGCTTCTGATCGTGAAGAAAGTCTTCGGTCCACGCCAGGACATTTCTCCAAATCTCGTACCCTTCCAATTTAATTCAAAGCCTTTCATGCGGTACTCTGTTGAAAGCCTTGGCAAAATTTGGGTAAATATTGTCGATATTGCCACCCTGTTCCAGAATTTGAGTCAAAACATCCAGGACCTTGAGTAATTGTGTTAAGCAGGAGCGTCCCGACATAAAACAGTGTTGGCAATCCTTTTCAAGATTGTTTCGTAGCAGATGTTCCATCACGGCATCTCTTATGATGTTCTCTAGTACTTTACATACTATGCTGGTAAGGCTCACGGGTCTAAAATTATTCGTGGAGTGATGATTGCTCTTCTTGAACAAAGGACTCGCATAAGCCATTTTCCAGTTGTTGGGGACCTTTTGCTCATCCAGGCATTTACAGAACAGGATCTTTAAGAGGATCCACAAGCTTGTTACACAATTCTCTTAAAACTCTGGGGTGTACCATATCAGGGCCGGTACTTTTGTGAATCTTTAGCTCTGACAATTTATTTCTAACACCCTCTTCTGTAAACACAACGTGGGTCAGCAATGTGCCAAACCGTCTTTCCTCAAACGCAGGAAGATTGTTTGCCTTCTCTATTGTGAACACCAAGGAAAAGAATTTGTTCAACGTCTCCACCTTGTACTGGTCAGAATCTGTGTAACTACAATCTCACAGTCTATCTCCTCAAACTTTTAAATCTTGTTTGCTCGCTCACTGTTGTTTTCACATATGACCTGTGTTGTGTAGTCCTGAACATTACTGTAACAGTATGTAAACAGCCAAGAATACTGTTAAAGCAGCGTTAAAATGTAAAAAAGTTATTAGTTATGTATACAGGCATCCCCGCGATAGGGAAACCTGGGTTACAGAAATTCGTGCATAAGGAATTTTTAAATTATGACCCAAAAATTCAGGATACGGCTAAAACATTCGCCATTCCGCAATTTCACCACATTAAAAAAAAATAAAATCGTGATTTATACACAAAATCTTTACCCAAATTGTAAAATTTATTTTGTGTGGATTCTAGGTGATAGCAACAATAACGATTTTGGTCAGTTTGTATTCAATCCCCAGCTTGTGTTCAGTTTTGCCTCTGTGTTCTCTTATTCAAGATCAGTGGAAAGGGGCCATCAAGTGCAAGTGCAGCAGTGGTGGTAAGAGATCATGTAAAGGAATTACAGTCTCTCCTTGACTTACGACAACCCGGACATACGACGGCCATGGTCGTATAAAATACTTTTCACATCACGTATTTTCGAGTCCCGAAGTTTGGTTGTAATGTGACACCGTACGATAGCTTGGGCTGTGCCGCCTCGTGGTGTACAGCATCCACGCCGTAGCCCACTCAGTTGGTGTTTGGCCGTCATTGTTATTAGTGATCGCGCTGTGTACTGACAAAATTTTCGTTTGTAATTCCCTTTAAAATGGCTGGCAAGCATTAAAGTGAGAGTTCTCGTGGTGCTGAGAAGAAAAAGAGACAGTCAATTACTTTTGAGATGAAAATTAAAATAATAATGCAATATGAAAATGGAAAAAAGGCAGCAACCATTTCACGCAACCTTGGCTTGTCTCACTCAACGATATCAACAATTTTGAAGGACAAGGAACGAATTCGTGAGATAGTGAAAGGATCAGCACCCATAACGGGAACAATAATAACGAAATTACTTGTGATGTGGATGGAAGATCAGATACAAAAGCGTGTACCCTTAAGCCTTCTAACCATACAAGCTAAGGCAAGAAGCCTTTTCGAAAGCCTGAAAGAGCAGGCAGGAGAGGAGTGCGACCAAAACTTCACAGCAAGTCATGGATGGTTCCAAAGGTTTAAGAAACATTACAATTTGCACAGTGTAAAGGTGAGTGGAGAGGCAGCAAGTGCTGATGTGGGTGCTGCTGAAGCCTTTAAGGAGGAGCTAGATCGTGTCATCGTGGAGGGAAATTATTTGCCTGAGCAAATATTTAACGTGGATGAAACTGGCTTAT